AAAGGGGGGATCCCTTCTCGGGCTTCAAAAACCCGCCCGTCTTCCCCAGCCGCAGGGCTGCCCACGAGCAACGCACCCAACATGGGGTGTTTCTTCCCAGAAGCCCTAAAACGACGTTTTTGTGCCACGCGGAGCCTTGTCACGAGCAGAACTTCAGCAATCTCTTTTCTCGCGAGGGGCTTGGATGGATGGAATTGCACCTAAACGTAACTTGTTTCCAACCTAGGTCTGAAACGTGTGTTAAATGCCTGAAAGGTGCAGGGTTCTGCAGAAATCCCCTCTGCGCAGGGGACACGTTCCTCGGTGTTGTGTCGTGAAGGCCCCTATAAAGAGTTTGGGCGTCAGCCAAGGCGGGTGCTTCCATTTCCTAAATTTCCTCAGCATATTTAAGTAGTTTTTTTTTTTCTGGATTTTTTTTAAGTTCCCATGTAACCTCTCTCTTTGGAGGAGAATGTTAGTCTTAGCATTTTTAATCACGTCATGAGTTATGTTACTTAATACTGCAGCTCATTTTCACATGGCCAGCTATTTTTTCTCTTTTTTTGAAAGCCACTTCTCCCTTGCAGCGCATATTTGAGGAATAGTTACAAAACAGATAGTATTTTTTTTTTCTAAAAGCAACTTTTTATTTTCTTCCTTTGTGGAGTATTAGCTGAGCCTCCCTGAAAGGGTCAGGCATGAGTTGGCATCTGTATTGCTTACGCACATGGTTATTCCTTGTACAACTCCTGCAGGACAAAGTCCAGGTATGTTTTATCAGCCCGCATCTCTGTTATGTGGGAGCAGAACTGCAAAGAAATTCTGGCAAAACACCCTGGAAATGCAGCTGAAATGTAGCACAGGGCATGTAGCCCGAGCTTGTTGCTGAATACATCAAATAAAGTAGCATGGAAATTTGTGCTGTGGGAGTTGCATCTCCTTGGTTTTCCCATAAAGGTTGATGTGCTTGATGGTGCTTCATGATTATGTTGTAAGTTGTCAGTTAGGGGCTTGGAAAGCCACCAGCAGGTAGCAGATGTGTGCAGTTACAGGTAATACAATTGCAGTGAGAAGTAATAAAAGAAAAATGCTTTTTCTTTTGTATTGCATTAATGCTTGTTTTGTGTTTCGGTGCTATCTGCGCTCCCATTAAGGGATGTCCTTAACATTTTTAAAGATGTTCAGGAAGTCTGTGACTGGGGGACTTAGTATTTGGGCGGAAACAAATGCAGGACAACATGTAGTATGCAACTATGTGTGTGTATATATATTTATATACACATGGACGTGCATGTGCTGCAAGCGATCCTTTGAGGATGCATTTTGTAAATCTTGGTCGTGCAAAGATTCATGGAGCAGTTCAGAGTCTGCTAACCTAAATCTTTAAGTCTGCTTGCCCTAAACTTGAGCACATTCCTGTCTCATACCTAAGGCAATTGTTAAAGTTATTTAGACATAGCCTAGAGTGTCATTTGTGACAGAGAAGCAGAGGCGAGCGGCCTGTTCTCCACCACATCAAACAGTTGAGTGCCTCTGCTCAGCAAGGGTGTTGGGAATTTCATACAAACCAAAGAAATCGCCACTTTCTGCTTTCTTTGCTGCCTTCTGGTTTTCTTTCTTACAACATCTCTGCAACTGTTGCAGAGAATGCAGGAGGGCTGCTCTTCATGGCCAAGGTTTC